AAATACATGAAACAGTTTCATTAAGTATTATATGAAACAATTTCACAACCATTTATGAAACAACTTCATCAAAAAAAGTATTATATGAAACAATTTCACAAGATTAAACAATTTCATGAAAAAATTTCATAAAATTAAACAATGAAATCGACAGATGAAGGTGGTTTGCACGGTTTACACAAATGAGGGCGGTTTTCATATGATCACTCCTATATATATATATATATATATATATATATGTTATACTTATCATGAAATTTGCGTACGTTCAAGTGCGTACAACAGCTCGATACCGTAAGTCCGCAACTCAATATCACTTTCTTTAACACTTTCTTCAATGTCATAAGACATTGTGTTCTTCATCACTTTAACCGAACATCCAACAAGAGATCAAAAACCTATCGAGACCGTTCGAGAGAGATCGAGAATCTGTTCATTGACTTGATGTGTGTTTATGTGTGTTAAACCATAACTTACCACCTTCATTTTCTATCAAGAATCGATTGATTGATTTATTATTTGTGTGTGTAAAACTATAGGCTACCACTTTCAGCTTTTATCGAGATGGATCGGAAATCCATTGAAACCAATCAAGAACACATCAAGATCGATCCACAACCCATTGGGACCGATTAACACCAACTGAAACCAATCAAGATTAATCAAGAACCCATCCATTGATTTGGTGTGTGGTTGTGTGTTAAAATCATAACATAACTTCATTTTTCATCAATACCGATTGAGAACCTATTGATTAATTTATTATGTATTTGTTTGTATAATAACATACCACTTTTAACTTTTAACGAGATGGATCGAGAAATCTATCAAGACGAGTCGGTAACTCATATAGATCAATTGAGAACCCAATAAAGAAAAAGAAAGAAAAATTAAAGTTTGTAAAGTTGAAACTGTAGTATATTCATGATGAATAGTATGTATATTAATGATGAATGTTACGGTAAAAATGTATATTCATTACAAATATCATACTGATGTATGAATGTTGAAAAGTTATATACACGTAAACATATATAAATATTCATGATAAATAGTATGTATCATATTGATGTATGAATACTAAAGAGTTATTGCATACATGTGAAAAAAAAAAATATATATATATATATATATATATATATACATATTCATGATAAATGTTATAATGAAGATGTATATTGATGACGAATATCATAGTGATGTATGAATACTGAACATTTGTTGAATACACATGAAAATACATAACTATTCATGATGAATGTTATAGTAAGTTGTATATTCATGATAAATGTAATACTAATGTATGAATATTAAAGAGTTGTTATACACATATGAATGTGTATAAATATTCAAAATGAATATTATACATATATACTATTTGATGTTGAAAACGTTAAAAACATAAAATAAAATAAAAACTATATCGAGATGGATGTCAAATCAGATAGAATGAAATGCTCAATTTTTTGGTGTAATTTGTTTTGTTTGATTAAAATGGTAATTATTTTTAGATAATTTAGTTTAAAAATGAAGTGGGTAAAAGTTTTTTAACAAAAAAAAAAAGTCAAACATGGTAGGCGTAAATTCTAATTTCTATTTTTTTGCCCTTAATCACTTTTTAATTAACCTTTTTATGTTTTAACCATTGATAAGTTTTTTAAACTTTGATCAGTGGCCTAGATTTGTCCTCATGTTCACAATGAAAAATGAGTTTTCTTTTGAACTATATATATATATATATATATATATATATATATATGATATACCAGCGAGATACATTTACACATCGGGGTGACAGAGGCTTAGTGAAAAGCCATCATTTGAAGTTGGGTACGTGAGGAAAATAAACTCATAACAAAATCTATAAAGCAAYGAAGCATATGAGGGGATTTCCTATAGTAGGGTCATAAATGAAAAAGAAGGTATCATGAAGCCTTCTGCTTTTATTTGTCAACTTGAGGTTAAAGTAAATCTAAAGTGCAAATCATCATGGAGAAACAGGAAGCCTTCTGCTTTTATTTGTTTCTTAATAGGTATACTATCCTACCACTTCTAAAATGAAGGGATTTCCTATACAAAAGCACTTGCAGAAATGTGCTCTCAACATGAGGTCACAGCTACTGATTTGTTGCTATGACTACCAACCACTCCCAAGAAGCCCCTTAAAAGAATACTAATAACCACAGATCCTGCCATGACTTCTGATGCTGATGGCCACTTAATGTCCAGATATAAATGTGGCTAGGGGTTTAGTTCTGAAACCTCATTTATATGTACCCTCTGCTAGGAATGCATGAATATGACACCATGAAGAGTATCACCAACCATTATGCTTTTGTGGTACAGAAAACTATAAGCCATAGTACAAAAGGAGATGCAACTGCAGAYGCTCTAAYTTTAGTTAAATTCAATGTGGATCCAATTATTGTGCAAAAACAAAAAATTGGGCTTAGAAGTTCACATTTCTCAAGCATACAGAGCATAGGATAATCCTCCATGAGGGTGTGGTGTTGGGTCCTAAAAGTGCTTTTCTTCTTTATCATAAATCAATTTCATTTTCTAAACACCCTTTCATTATTAATAAAGGGACTTCTAAAAAAACTGAACAGAGAGCAAGTGCAATTTATTTCTACAGTAGAAGTTTGCCATAAAAAATTATTGTCCAGTCCCAACATCTGATCATTTAAATTTGATTATCTAGACTTGAAGAGGGGGATGGGTTCAAATGAAATCTCAAGTAAAGGGCTGTTCGGTTGTTATTTTCTGCACAAGTAAAAGGTTTGTTTTGAACCATCAAATGTCATTTTCGCCACCTCATATAGCTAGCATCTCTCATGAATGTTTATGTATATGTTCCGAAGCTACTGCGAAGAGCAGTCAATTTAAACCAAGTGCAAAGTCACCCATCTAGAGCAAGTCCAAATGTGCAAAGCTGTYGACTTCAGGTGTAAAAACTTTCAGAGAAGTTAAGCATATATACATGAAACTTATTACTATTAACCCAT